CCCCGGACCCCCACGGCTCAGCGGCCCACCCATTCCTGCCTCTTCCCCAGCCCTCTTGAGGCGGGGCAGCGGAAGTGACCCCTCCCCAGGGGCCCTTACCCCTCCTCCACACCCCCATCTCCCAACCGAGGGGAAGAGGCCTGGGGGAAGGGGCGTCCCGGGTAATTCACATCCTTTCAGAACCTGGGTCTCGTGTTCTGAATGGGAGAGGCAGGCCTGTGCACACCGTGTGTGCGTGCTCCTGGGGGCATCACCTCGCTGCTGCCCCTCTGCTGCCCGTGGGGGAGGAGATCATCCTCAAGGCACAGGAACCGGCCTCTGGGTGTGCACACATGTGCGTGCACAGCTTGCACACTCACCCTCCCAGCCTGACCCAGGCAGACCCTGGGCCTGAGGCCGGGAAGCCCCCACCCCGAGGAGGGAGGCTCTGGAGGAAGCCACCTCGGGGCCCTGCAGAAGGGGCTCAGCGCACCTGCTCACCGCCCATTCCCTTCTCACTCACAGAAGAAGGCAGGCAGGAGCCAAGGCCCCCTCCCGAGGATGACACTAAACACGCAGCAGGAAGCAAAGACGCCCCTGCGACGGCGAGCCAGCACCCCGCTGCCCCTGTCCTCCCCGGGCCGCCAGCCTGGCCTGTGCGCAGCACCTTCCACTTCCACACAACCCCGGCACCCACGCCTGGGCCAGTCGGCCTCCCTCAACCCTCCCACCCAGCAGCCTTCACCTGCCCCCGACGGCTGGTCCTCTGAATCCAGCGACTCGGAGGGCTCCTGGGAGGCCCTCTACCGCGTGGTGCTGCTGGGAGACCCTGGCGTGGGGAAGACCAGCCTGGCCAGCCTCTTCGCAGGGAAGCAAGAGCGGGAGCTCCATGAACAGCTGGGAGGTAGGGACGCGGGGCTGGGCTGGAATGTGGCCAAAGGAGTGATCAAGGGCACAGGGCTGCCAATAACAGCTGTACGACTCACGCACTGCTCAGCCCATAGGGGCGTCATGCGCACAGGCTGTGACGTGGATATGCCCCCCTAGAGTTATGCAGGGCACAGCCTGCACAGTGGCTGTGGGAGAGAGATTCCTTGAATAGTGAGAATTTTGCCAGTTTTCATGGGTGAGAGATCTGGGATTGAGTCTCCAGTATAAAGAAATGGTGGACTTCCACCTCGCTTAGAAACCCCTATCCCCGCCTCTCCCCTGACTCTCGGATCACCCCAGCTCCATAGACAACCACCCATGGCCACCACGCCCTATGGCAAAACTAATACCCTGCCCAAAATGGAGACTCTCAGACTCCAAGCTCTGGGCCCTGGGTTCCTTTATTCCCACGAGATGCCGTGAGCAGGTGCCCTAGGATGATGGGGGTGGGGATAGGGCAGAGGAAATGAAGATAGGTTTTCGCAGGACTGGCTGAGAGGACTAGGGTAAGTGGGGTGGGGAGTTGGTTAAAAGCAGAGAGGAGGTGGGGGACACTCTAGCCAGGCCCTTTCTCCAGGCTCTGCCTCTCTGAGGGTGAGAACCCATACAAGACGTGCACATATGTGCACCTGTAGGTGTGACAGACAAATCGGGAGACTGAGGCTCAGAGAAGGTAACATGACCTGCCTGGAGTGTACAGTCAGCCAGGGACAGGGCAGGACTGGAGAATTCCCAGCCCAACTTTAACCCCACCACCCCACACTCATCCAATCAGCAAACACAACCACCAAGGCTGTCTCAGTACCTACTGTGCGCCTCATACCATGCTGGCAGCTGGGGAGACATGGGCTCCTCCTCCTGGGGCTTCTTGACCTATCAGGAGACACAGGCATCACGTGAGTGTGGCGAACACTTCACGGAGAAGTAGAGGGGGTGCAGTGACCATAAAGAGGGGCTAGGGAGCCACACCCTCCCCTGGCCTGCCGTCCTCCTGAGATCCAGCTCTTCCCTCCGTTGCAGAAGATGTGTACGAGAGGACCCTCACAGTGGATGGAGAAGACACCACTCTGCTGGTCATGGACACCTGGGAGGCTGAGAAACTGGTATGGCCCAAGCAGGATTTGGGGAGATGGGTGCTGAGCCTAGAACCAGACCCCTCCAAACCCCATAGCCTTTGCAACCAAAGACAGAACCTCGTGACCTTCACCTCCTTTGCTCACTCCTCTGATCCCCTCTCCACAGCCATCCCAGGATGTGCTTCTTCCCCTGCAAGCCTCCCCCTCGTATTAGCCCCCTCATCCCGCTCCACCCACCTGCGTTGTGCAGAGGAAGGAACACTGAATTTAGCATCAAATGTCTGAGGTTCAACCCCCTGTCTTTTTTGACCAGTTGTGTGTCTTTGTGACTTTCCTGCTCTGAGCTTCAGTTTTCTCACCTGATAAATAGGTCGATCATGCCTGCCTTCTTTACCAACTGTTTGCTTTCTTTAAGTTCTTATGCAACTTCAGAGAGTTGAGCAGTTTTGAGCATGAAAAAAAATGCTGAACATGGGCGAAGAATCAGAAATAATGACAACTCTTATTAATTATAATTTAGTAGCTAGGGGAAAAGGAAACCAAAGGGTGTCCTTCCCGGGCCCCTTCTCGAGCGGGAAGAGAGCAGCAGGCAGGGGCATGTCCCTGTTGTGTTTTTCTTATCTTGTTTGAGTTTTCCGTTTTTCTTGCTGTACAAGTAGTACATGCTCACTATAGAACTTTGAAGAATACAACCAAGCAAAGAGAAGGATCTAAAAATCACCTGAGATTCCATCTCTCTAAGGAGTAGGTTCCTCCCCTAAAACTCAGGGAGGGCCTGGCCACAGAGGATTTAGGAGGGCGGTGTTGGGTGGTTGACAAAAATGGCGACAGCTCTAGTGATGGGCCCAAAGGCTGGGGATGAAGGAGCTGTGCAGCCAATTCTTTTTAACAAGCATAGAAGGAAACCCAGGTCCAAATGAACATAATAAAGATGATGATTCTCTCTTTTTTAAAAAAATATATTTTTATTGATATTTTACAGAGAGGAAGGGAGAGGGATAGAGAGTTAGAAACATCGATTAGAGAAAAACATCGATCAGCTGCCTCCTGCACACCCCCTACTGGGGATGTGCCCGAAAACAAGGTACATGCCCTTGACCGGAATCGAACCTGGGACCCTTCAGTCCTCAGGCCGACGCTCTATCCACTGAGCCAAACTGGTTAAGGCATGATGATGATTCTCTTAACAGCAGCTGACATTTATGTAGCATCCTCTTCCTAAGTGTTAGCCCCTGTGCTAAACACTGGACATATATTATGACATTCAGTTAAGACAAAAATTATACAGTGAGTGTTCTTCTGATCCCTATTCTATGATGAGGAAATGGAAGCTCAGAGAGGTTAAGTAATGTGTCCAAAGTTCTCAGCAAGTGAGATCCAAACCCAGACCTGGAAGAACCCACAGTCTGCACGTTTATGCACTAGGATAGCCCCTTCATCTCCCCTGGGAGCATCACCTTCTGAACCTCCAGCTGAGGTTCCACTCCTTCACCCATTTGGTCATTAAGAAACACTTGCTGCCCTAGCCGGTTTGGTTCAATGGATAGAGCATTGGCCTGTGGACCAAAGGGTCCCCGGTTCAATTCTGGTCAAGGGCACATGCAGGAGGCAACCAATCTATGTGTATCTCTCACATCAGTATTTCTCGGTCTTTCCCTTGCTCTTCCACTCTCTCTAAAAATCAATGGAAAAATATCCTCGGGTGATGATAAAAAAAAGAGAGAGAAAAAAAAAAACACTTGCTTGGTATAAATCATTGGCCAGAACACTGGAGACCCAGCAGTGAATAAGGTAGACATGTTTTCTGGCCCCATGGAGCTCACAGGCTGCTAAGGGAGGGGCTATTTTTTTTGGATGCTGGTAAGGGAGGGGCTACTTTGAGGGTCCTATGGGGCAGAGTCCAGTAGATTAAGAAGAGTGTTCAGCGCGAGGGTTCCATTTGGGAGACGGAGGAGGAAGAGTGCTGGACTAGAAGCAGGGGCTGGAATTCTGTGCCCAGCTCTCTGTGTGGCCATGAGGAAGTTTTCTCTTCTCTGGCCCTTGGTTTTCCTACAAGTAAAATAAGAAAACTGAACCAGTTCCCCTGGTCAGTGACTGTGAAGGTAGCTCCCAAACAGGGCCCATACAGTAGCAGCCTTGTTGGAATAAGCTTCCATCCCTTCCATCGTTAGGCTAGTCAGAGAGGCAGAATCTGAAAGAACTGGGTGGACCTCTGGCTCATCCAGTAGTGCACTCACTTACTAGTATCTACCCATCAGGGAGAGAGAATTAAAAATCGAATTCTCAGGCCTCGCCCCAGACCTCATGAATAAGAACCTGTATAAGTAGAATCCTGGCATCTATATTTTAAAGTCACATCCCAAGAGATTCTTATCCACCCGTCCATGCAGCAACTGGCTTTTGTGATCCTGACCACAGAGCAAATTCTTCATAAATATTTGTGCAATGAATGAATGAATGAATGGTCAAGACTCACCATCTCATTCAACAGATGAGAAAACTGAGACCCAGAGGGAGGAAGGGACCTGTCCATAGTCAAGGTTGAAAACCCAGAATGAGCAGCGACAGCCACCTGACTCGGCCCACAGTTATTCGACCTGAGGAAGGATCGATGTGGCTCTTGAAAACTCACCCCCTTTGACAATGATGTTGACGATGGATCTGATGCTTTTCTATTCATCTATCTTATTTGGTTATCAGATAACTTTTCTGGCGTCTTTCCCCCTCACAAACAATTCCTCCATCACACTCAATATTTCCCACGCCTGACCCACTCTCTTCTCTCCTGCTCCACCTGCTCATCCTTTCAAATCCCACTCACAGGTCCACTGTGAACCCGCCCACAATCCACCAGGTTGAGTTCTTCTGGCCTCCCTTCCCCACCCCCATGGCTTCTCCAGCTACTTTCATCTGGGTACTTATCACAGTGCATTATAATTCTCCATTTCCATAGCCTCCCTTCTAGAATCTAGACCATGAGCTTTTGGAGGGCAAGAACTGTGTCTTATACAGTTGTTACCGAGGTGGTCCAGTCTGAGTGCTGTCCCTGACAACAGAGCACCAGCCAAAATGGAGTATCAAAATCATTCCAGTTCTTTCCTTTCCTTGGTCAAAAAACTTGCAAGTACTCCACTTGCCTCTCCCACCCCCTATCCTTACACCCCACAGTTGCTCCTTCATCTCTTTAGAACCGTCCTGAAAATGCCTTCCCTTGAAATCAGCCTCCATCCTCACTTCTCTCCCTTCCTTTTTCCTCTTTTGAGGAGACTGCAGAAGACCAAAAGACCTGTCTAATATGACTGATCCCATTAAACAGGCAAAGCGAGAACAGCTAAACAGCAAACCCTCCTTAGCAGGAAGAGGAACCAACTTTTTTTTTTTTTTGTCTCTAGTGCCCAGCCTACAGAAGGAACCAATGAATGAGAGAATGTAGTGAGGTAGTGTCATTAGCCCAATTTTTCAAGCAGAGAAACGGGCTCACAGAGGAACAGCGTATCACTACTTTGAGAGGAGAACAGGGAATTATAGCAGAATTTGTCCCTCAAACCTGCCCAAAGTATAAACCTTAGCTCCATCCCACCCGTTAAACCACCCCAGCCCCTTTCTCAGCCAAGGCCTCGGTAACCTCTGAGGATGGGCCTGGGGTCCCTCCCCTACAGGATGAAAGCTGGAGCCAGGAGTCCTGCCTGCAGGTGGGCAGTGCCTACGTCATCGTGTACTCCATCGCAGACAGAGGCAGCTTCGAGAGCGCCTCTGAGCTCCGCATTCAGCTAAGGCGCACACATCAGGCGGACCATGTGCCCATCATCCTGGTGGGCAACAAGGCGGACCTGGCACGCTGCCGAGAAGTCTCCGTGGAAGGTGAGCCCTCTGGTCCACCCTCCTTCTCCGTACTCCTCTCAGCCCCACTGTCACTGTTCCTGCTCTAGTGTGTCTTCATCTCAGAGACTGCCTGCCACCTACCACCCCCATTCTGCATCTCCTGGCCTCTGCCTGAAAGCTAGGAACCATTCCTGTCTCCTCTCGCACTCCCCCAAACCAGTCCCCAAATCCTCCCTTAACCCCACATTCCCTTCACCCCATTCCCATAGCCTCTGACCCATTCCGCTATTTCCACTTCAGCCTGGGCCAGCCCCCACCCTAATTCTGTACCCCCACTTAAGCAGTTCTCAACAGCTGCCACAGGTTCCCAGAACCAGATCTGACCTTGTCACTTCTCCGCTTAAAAATTCCCATTTGGCCCTTCATGCCCTTAGTCAGCGACACTTTATCCACCAGGCCTCACAGGCCTAGTCCTACAGGATTTTCAAC